AACTTACCACAAACTCTGGGAGAAGAGTATTTAATGTCTAAAAAAATATAATTTATACATAGCTCTATACGTGCAAAGTCTGCTTTTAAAGTCGTATTTAACAAGTACCTGTTAATAAAATATTATTCTGACTAACTTTTGAATAGAACAAGTATTGAAATATGATTTATGCTCTTAATTTTTACAGAAGAGAACAACTTTTTATTCACAATCAAGGAATGCTTTATTTGTGCTTGACTCATTAACTATAGATAACTCTTAAGAATAAAGCAGAAGCGTTTATTTTACTTCTTCTTTTTAAAAGAATGTTGACTTATAAATATCCACATATAAGCCCATTGTATTCAAGATTATGCCACATATAGCTAGTAAAAAGTTGAAAGCTAAAATCCCATAAATTGTTCCAAGTTAGCCTTAGTTGAAACTTTTGTCGACTTAGGAAATATTTTACTAATTGAAATAATGCAATTTACTTCATTTTTACGCTTAAATATGCATATTTCTATAAATTCGTGTGACAAAATGACCTGTTTAGCTTCTCACAAACATTCTCCAAATTTTCATATTTATACCTTTAATCACGCTAAGAAGTTTCAGCATCCATGTAGCTACAGTTGTGGAGGTATGGAAAAAGGAGCCTAAAACTATCATTTTAAGTGATTGTTAAAAAAACATTATGCAATCGAAGAATGGATGTGGAGTGATATTTTGGCAAAAAATGAACGCAATACAGTCTAAAATAATTTGTCTAAATAAAATATATCACAGCAAAGCAAGATGATATAATGCAATGACTTGGCTAATGAATTGTAAGGACGCCAAACAATAAAGTTTAAGGCAGCATTTTTAGTCTCAAAGTAAATGGTGACATCAATTTTATAGAAACCCATCTCTGGTCTGACGCAAATAAGTAATTCTGCATTTTTATAAGAAATCTAATTGCCCTGTCAAATGGAGTTTGTGCATACACTGATAACATCTGATGGTGGAAAAAATGGCATTTGTTATGCCCTACTTTGACCCCCGCTGTCAAAAATTCATTAAAAATAAAGTAAATTTCTATTGTAAGGCTCCGTCTATTATTCATCTCTATAGATATTCTTCCTTGGAGTGTAGTGCACTGCACTGTCATTTGCAGCAGTAGAACCTATCGCTTTAGTAGCCTTTGCTATGTGCAGGTTTCCCATTAGACGATACTGCATTCTTTTCTTCTGCTTCGGTAGGCCTGCTGCGTATAAGACAGTTCGCAGCCAGTGTGCCCCAATGTTACTGCACAAACTTTATGTGCAAGGGAAATAATATCGCTCAGAATAAGGACAGTTCGATTCTTTACCCTCTCATCGAATAAGTTTTTAATGTCTCCTCTTCAAATTGGATTTGTTCAAGTAGAAAAAGACAATTCTAAACTCTTCTCCAATAATTATTTTTATAATAAATTTCATTCTTTGCTCCTAATTACAACATAAATTCGCCAAGTTGAGCTTTTCCTTTGAATAATGGCTAATAAATGCAATTTTTAAGTAGATTTTAACATTGCACTAACTCATTACAACTCCATACTTACTTTTAGTCGTTCGAGAGACATTTGACAAATTTGACAGGAAGAAGTCCGGTTTCGTATCAACCAGTGACCTGGCCATGATCTTCCGTTCCTTGCATATTTCCATCACTCCGGAACAGCTGCAGTCTTGGTCAAACGATCTCGATGTTGACGGCAAGTTACAATCGACATTTCCTCGTTCTCTTGTCCTTTGTTAGGCCAAAATCTTCCAAAGGCTAGTTTGTACTCTACGTTTTTACTCTGGAGCAACATTTCTGCCTATCCTATGAATGCAGGTACACCCTCCCTCCAGATACTGCATTAGAATTTGTGCATTCCTTGTGGGAAAGCAAACAAATGTTTACTGTCATAAACCGAGTTCCTTGGTCATTTCGACAAGAGACATAACGGCATGTGGTAATTTAGAGAAGTATCCATGAAATATACTACTAAAAAGGCATGCCTGCCAGTGAATGCAGAGAATAATAATCGTATGTGGCTAGAATCTAATAAAAGTAATCTCAATTGCAATAAATGAACCTGGAAAATATATAATCCCTCTTCTATTTACAGGTGTTCTAGACTTATAGTATTCCAATGATGTGAAATAATAAATGAGGGACTTAAATGAATATTAACTGGCCTGTAGGCCCTCATCCTCTCCATCGATAATAAAAGAGGTTATGATCTTCCCTAATTTGTGAGTTGATCGACGATGGAAGGCTTTTTCTAAATATTATGGATACCAAATTATGCATATGTCTTAATGATGTCAGTTATACAGAATAAACATATTTGTGACAGTGTCTGATTCTCAATGAGTTGAGGGTTTGATGCGAAAGTAGGTTTAAAAACCGTTAGAAATAGTTTATAATCAAGTTTATATCTGGCAGTCAACCCTAAATTATAATATATTTTGTGAGGCAAATATATGCGAAATTCGATGAAAACGTAAGGCCTACTCATATCATTGTGGGAAAATTTAACTACCATTCCTTAATCACGAAATAGAGTGAAAACATCTCATATAATATAAGTAGTATTTGTTGCCTTTGTGCTACTTAGCTGCCAATTATAGCTTAAAGAAAAAGGATATTTGCAACAATAACTATTATTTTACAGTGTACTCCAAAAGTGTCTTATTTCCCACTTTAAGCTGG